AGAGTGAATGGAGGCATCTGTCCTACCATGTAACATCTCCACTTGCAGTTCTTCCTGAGTTACACCACAGCTGGCTCCAGCTTCGTCTTTGGGAATACGCTCATTGAAGAAATCTTTGCCTTTCAGGTCAGCTTGAGGAATGGGATATAGGGAGGGAGAGGAGAGCCTGGTTTTCTTCCAGTCTGGGTGCCTTGAGAGCGTGGAGCTGAATGCAACTCTGGTTGCTGGACCAGATCTCAAACAGCTCCAGCACAGGTCTCCTTCAGCCTTATATCCACCTGTGGATTTCCTCAGTGCCCTGGGAAATTTGCACTGAGAACTGATCCCCAACCCCCCTGTCAGGCATGCCCGGTGCTGAGGGACCCCGAGCGCATGGGCTGGCCCAGATCCTGTGCTGCTATGCAACACCACAGCATGCCCAGCTCATGGAGCAGGGAGCCCTGGTCCCCAAGTGTAGCTAGATGTGCTGCTCAGCTCCCCTTTAATCCTGTGCCCTGGTGCCTTGTCTGCAGACTCTGCCCATCATTGTTTTCTTCAGTTGTGTGATGTCTGTCCTCTACTACCTTGGTGTCATGCAGTGGCTCATTCTCAAGGTAGGGCCTCACACCAGGCTTTGGGATGGTAAGTGGAGAAGAGAAGGACCTGGTGCTTTCTCTAACTACCCTGCTCAGCTGGGGAATGTCCCAGGAAAATTGTAATGATACCAATCTGGGGTGATTTGTCCTGCTAAAATGATAGACGCAAAATCCTTCTTTCTTGCACATCTTTCTGAGCCCTTGGGTTGATGTTGCTTGTGGTCTGTGGACACTTCCCAAGATCACCTCGGTGCAGCTTGGGGAGGGCAGGCTGGAGAGCTGGATGCTGCCCCACTTTGCAGGGGAGAGCAGCAGGGGTGCCAGGAGCCTTTTTGAAGCTGATGGCCTTGTCTTCCCCCAGATCTCCTGGGTGCTTCAGGTCTCAATGGGCACCACTGCCACTGAAACCCTGAGTGTGGCGGGGAACATTTTTGTGGGACAGGTAAGCAACTTGGGGAGGCGATCCAGCTCCTCAGCCCTTGCAACTGAGCCTGCCGCAGAGGAAGGGTCTTCTCCTCCCGTCTCTGGAGACCTACAGCCCTGTGTGGCCCTGCCTTGAGGACATCAGAGGGTTTTCTCTCTTGCAGACTGAATCCCCACTGCTCATCCGCCCATACCTTGCAGACATGACCAATTCAGAAATCCACGCTGTGATGACTGGTGGCTTTTCCACCATAGCGGGCAGTGTGATGGGAGCCTACATTTCTTTTGGGGTGAGTGCATGAGTAGGTGCATGTCACGTGCTCCCTGCTTAGGAGCTCTGGCACACAAGAACTGCCCAGGACTTGCTGGGGAGACCTCCTGCAGGTACCCAGTGGTCCCTTTCAGTGAGCACGCTAAGGGCAGGGGGCAGTCATGCACAGCCTCACCTTTGCTGGCTTGCCAAAAAATGAATTGCCCTACTGGGTCAAATTGCCAAGGAATTGCCAAGGGACCCTCACTGTGTGTCCTTCTACAGAGAACTGCACAAATCTTATAACTGAATCACAGAATAATTTAGCCTGGAAGGACCCTCTGAGGGCTCATCAATGAGCCTCTGAGGGCTCATTGCAGGGCTGATGGCAAAGCCCAAGCAGGGTGGTCAGGGCCTTGTCCAGTTCGGCAGTGAACATCCCCATGGATGGAGATCCCCTCCAGCACTCTGGTGCATCCCACAACTGCCCCAGTCATGGAGAACATACTTTCCTTATGTCTAACCGGAATTTCCCCGCTGCAGCCTGTACTGTTGCCTCTCCTCCTTTCACAGGGCACCTCTGAGAAGCAGCTGGCTCTGTCTACCCTACAGCCCACTTTTAGGTAGTTGGAAATGCCAATTAGGACCCCCGTCCCCTCAGCCTTCTCTTCTCCCAGCTAAACAAGCCCAGCTCCCTCAGCATCACCTTGGAGGTCCTGTGCCCTGACCATCTTGGGGATCCTTTGCTGGACTCTCTCTAGTTTATCAGTCTCTCAAAACTGGACACAGTATCCCGATGTGGCCTCATCAGTGCTCCATGATGGGGAACAATCCTTCCCCTCAACCTGCTGGCAGGGATCCTGCTAAGTAAACATTAATTAGGCTCTTTAAAGAGAAAGCTAGGGGTGAAAGATCACAGAAATAAGAAATAACCACTCAGCAGGCAGGGGAGGGGTGAGAAGAGACTGTTACTGTAATACACCATTCTGGCTGGAAGCTTGGCTGTTCATCAACAGGTAAAAGTTCGCAATGTTGCACGACCTATTCCTCTGATACTGATAAAAAGGGACAAGGAAGGGACAGGAATCATCAAGATGAAGTCAAACAGCAAAAGAGACTAATGTCTCCAGGGCCATGATTCTCGTGGCTCCAGCAACACCTCCATCCAAGCAAGTTGCCCTAAGTGCTGCGTGTAGCCAAGATGGGGAAAGAGAGAGACCTTTTCCCACCCTGATCAGCCAGCTGAGCAAACAGAGAGCCCTGAACTGCTCCAAGCATTGCTTGCTGATGCTGGCCATGTGCTAGGGGCACCCCAGGATGGTACGTCTTGTGGTGCAGCCTTGCACAGAGATGCCAGGCCTGAGTGCATGGTCTGCGTGTTACAGATAGATGCAGCATCGCTGATTGCAGCCTCCGTGATGGCTGCACCCTGTGCGCTCGCCATGTCCAAGCTCGTCTACCCCGAAGTGGAAGAGTCCAAGTTCAAGGGCAAAGAAAACATCCGCCTTTCCTGTGGGTGAGTGGGGGCAGAGGGATGAAGGAGTGGTGCTACACTTGTGCTTCCAGACCGGGGAAGCTGTGGAGACAATTTAGGGGTAGGTGCAGATGTCACGAGCAACCCAAGGCTGGGAGAACCTGTGTGACGTGCAGACCACGCGGTATGTCCGGGGACCAAGAGCCGATCTTGCATGGGGGATGCCTGGCCATGCGAGCCCTTCAGGCTCTTTTTCCTCACAGGGAGGAGCGGAACATCCTGGAAGCTGCTAGCAATGGGGCTGCCGCCTCTGTGGGGCTCGTGGCTAACATCGCAGTCAATCTCATTGCCTTCTTGGCAGCTCTAGAGTTTATCAATGCTGCATTGCGCTGGTTCGGGGAGATGGTAGACATCGAGGGGCTCTCCTTCCAGGTATCCACCAGCAACCCTGAAGGCAGCCTCACCCTGCCAGATCCCCCATCCACGGTGTCCCCCCATCCCCACTGCTGCCTGCTGCCTCAGTAGACTGCTGGGACCCCCTTCTTGCTCAGCTTTCACCCTACTGGGGGCTTGGCAAATCCTGGCTACAGGTGCCCAAGCTGGGAGCTATGCAGATGGTCAGCTCTGAGTGAATTCCTTCCCGGGATTCTCTTCTCAGGTGATCTGCTCCTACATCCTCATGCCCGTGGCCTTTCTCATGGGGGCAGACTGGGCAGACTCACCACTGGTGGCTGAGCTCTTGGGGATCAAGATCTTCTTGAATGAGTTTGTGGCATACCAGCAGCTGGCCACGTACAAGAAGAACCGGCTATCAGGCCTGGAGGAGTGGGATGGGAGCCGGAAGCAGTGGATATCTGTGAGAGGCACCTGCCACCCTGTCAGGCACAGGGCAGGGATGGAGCCCGGTGAAATGGGTGCAGGCGGATGATGGTGTTAGGGTAGGAGGGCAGCTCTGGCCAGCTAGTCAGCTATGGGTCAGTGAAACAGCCAGTGAAGCCCTCTCCGTTCTTCCTGCTCTCCAGTGGGGCAGCTCATGGTGTTACAGGGTCCTTCCATACCCACTATGTTCTCAGCCCAGCCTCTCCTGCAGGCAGGCAGCCCACCACCTACCTCCTTGCCCCCAAAAAAGTCTAGAGGAGAAAGGGCAGGGTTGGGGGGGAACTCATCTCCATCCTGCCCAGCTGGGCTGGAAGCTGCAGCCTGGTGCTCAGCTCTGGGTGCTATGGGCCTGGTGGGGCGGTTGCTGTGCCGAGGTGACCATCCCCTCTCGCTGTGCCCTGCAGGAGCGAGCTGAGAGCATCACCACCTTTGCACTCTGTGGATTCGCCAACTTCAGCTCCATCGGGATCATGTTGGGAGGCCTGAGTGAGTACAACCCATGTCCAGGGTCCCTGAGTGCAACCTGTCCAGGGTTCCTGAGCACAGGGCAGTGGGATCCCAGGCCCAGGGAGAGCAGGCTCAGCTGGGATAGAGGCACTTGTTGTCTGTGAGCCTCTGTGTCCAATCTCTGCCAGCATACAGATAAGAAATTGGACTTGCATGAGGTGATAAGGCTGATTTTTTGCACCGCACCCAAGGGCAAGGGCCATGGCACAACCCACCAGCACAGGCGCTACCAAGCCACGGGGGAAAAGGGCAGAGCCATCAGTGCCGACAGCACCAGGGGCTCTGATCAAACACCCATGGGTGCAGGATGCACACAGCACTCTGCCAGCACCCATCGCAACTAGCACTGGCAGACAGCATGCCAGTCCCTGGTGGAAGGATCATGATGTCCCCAAGGCACCACATTAGACAAGCGGTCCCCATGACAGGGCATCACATGGCAGAGGGGACCTGGGGACACGTCCCCTTTTGCAGCTGCTCCCAACCCAGGGCAGAGCAAGGACAAGGGTCCAACTCACCCTGCTTTAACTCCACAGCCTCTATGGTACCCCAACGCAAGGGTGACTTTGCCTCCCTTGTGCTGCGAGCCCTGCTCACTGGCATCTGCGTCTCCATGCTCAATGCTTGCCTAGCAGGTAGGTCTCTGCTCACTGCTGTGCAGCCCCAGGGGGCAGCCGAGAATCGAGGAAGGGTCGGGAAGAGGCAGGCAGAGGAGTGAAACCCCTGTAAATGCATGTGACGGGATGGGGAAGGTTGGCCTGCCCTTCCTATGGCTCTGCTAGAGCCTCTAAAACCCCCTGCTCTCCCCACAGCTCTGCCAGGGCTCCCCAGGCACTCCTTTGCTCTCCTGATAGTTCTGCAGTGGCCCCTCACCCTCATAAGGGCTGTGATCAGGGCATTTCAAGGGTGGGTTTGTGGCACTGCAAGGAGCTCCCTAAGGCCGCAGCTGCAGCTGCTTGTGGGGGTGGGGGGGGTGTAGGGGATGTGCAAGCACAGTCCAAGTATGGGACTTGCAAGCATGGTCAAGGCACAGGATTTGCAAAAATGATCCAAGAGCCCCAACCACAAGGTCCTGTCTCCCAGGCCTCCTTTACGTGCCAACAGAGGTGAGCGACTGTGTGACCTTCCTCAGCACCACCAACTTCAGCTCCACCAGCTATGCCACATACACATGCTGCAAGCAGCTCTTTGCCAGGTGAGTGCGTGGCCAGGCTGTGGGAAACATACACTGTATGGTCTGATCTAAGGATCCGTGTCAGGGTCACAGCCACGGCTGGATGGTAGACCTTGCAGCTTGTACAAGTATCGCATGTCCTTCACCCTCAAACCCCACAACTCTGTGCCACAGCACAGCTGGCACCCAAAGACATGGCTCTCCTGCTGGGATATGGGCAGCCCAGCATAAGGATTCGACTCATCAGCTTTTGGGTGGCGGTTACAGAAGGGGGGCAGCTTGCCCTGACTGTGTCTCTCTCCTCTTCCAGCTCAATGCTTGGGGAGAATGGGACCCTTTCCTTCACGGCTCCCTGGGCAGGTGTGGAGGAGAGCGTGCCATGCCTGATCCAGTGCTGTGGACACTACAACCACACGACCTGCGCAGGGTGATCCTGGACTTGCTGTGGCACCCAAAGGTGCAGGCAGCTGCCAGCTCCTGGATCAAGGGCCTCCAAGCACTGGGGTCTACCCACAAAGGCACAAAAATCCCCAACACAGACCCATGCATCTGTATTTCTCCCCTCTGCCCCACTGGTGCCAGGTAGCAGATACCTGCAGACAGGGGGGACAGCTCCCTAATAAACCATGGAAATCTCCCTGCACTTGCCCTGAGCCCTATGTGCTGCTCTCTGGCACCCAATCATGCTGTGGGAGAGGGTGCAGGGTGCTTTGCTTGGGCTGTACTCTGTAACTGGAGCTCCCTGTAGCTGACATTTGCTGCAAACCCTGCAAGCTGAGCCTCTGCCAGGTGTTACAGCCTCAGGAACTTGTCCCAGCCACCCTCTTCTCCCCAAGGGGTGAAGATGGGGTAGAGCCATTACGCGAAGCCCCATCCTTCCCTGAACATGAGCTGTACCACCCCTCCCCCCTTGGGTGCCTTACAGGTCGCCCCAGACCCCCAGCAGGGAGCTGCAGCATCTTTTCCGCAGTGACCACAGCATAGGGAAACAGCCCAGTCCTTCTCGCTTTATTGCACTCGAGCACAGCCATTTGCCAACGCGGCTACGTATGTACATCGTTATTTTACAATGACCTGACGGCAAGCACCAGGGCCCTGGAGCATGCTGTGCTCCTGGCCTGACCCATCTCCTCCTCTGCTGGGCTGCAGTAAGCCACATTTGGGATGGGACACCAATGCCCTCGTGACTCTTACGGGGTGGTAACACATGCTCAACCCCATCCTCCAGAGCCCTAGTGAAGGTTAGGCTCTGCAGTGAGACAGGAGCAGGTAGAGCTGGGACAAGAGCTCTTAGCAAGCAGCACTGTAGCAAACACTGCCCGTCAACACGCTCTGCTGGCTACTGCGCAACCTTGAAGAGCTGATGGGTTTGAGGGAGGCTTGATGCAACTCAGGGCACTTCACTTTCCAGTCCAAGCACCACTGCCCATCCATCGCTGCCTCGTGCCACAGCTAGAAGCTGTAAGTCCCAGAGCTGGACAGTCCACCCAGCGCTATCCTTCACAGGCGCACAAGGCAGGCAGTTTTTTTGCTTCCGCTGGGGTATGACATGGTACTTTACGGGGGGTGGCGCTAAGCAAGGGTGACTGGGTGGGTGTTACGTGGCTGGACAGGGTTTGCATATGGCAGACAGGCAAGGGATGGCAAGACCCAATGAGCTGAGCAGCCCTCGGCATACAGGAGAGGCTTCCCCCAGCTCCTGGGTACCCTGTGTGAGGTAGAGCAGTCTTACCATGGCATGGCTGGCACCCATAGGCAGCACCACCGGCCTCAGCATCCACCCGGCAAGGGGGTAGGAGGCCCCAGGGACCTTATGATGCTTGCCCAAGGGTGCAGAAGGAGGCTGGGAGCACAGAGGGAGGCAAGCGTGCAAACTCCCATCGCCATGCAGTCACCAGCACCAGTACCAACACCAGTGCCATCCCATGTGACTGGCCCATGTGACAGGTTCTCCAAAGAATAGCAGCAAAGAAGCATGAGAGGTGCACCACTGCTAAAACCATCTGCAGTGAAAGTCTTGCCTTTTTCAGCGCTTCGTCAAGGCAAATGGGAGGAGTCGGGCCCTGTTCAGGTTCACATCCTTGACACGGAACACTAGCAGGATTTGACACGGTGTCTTCAGGGAGGATGCTAAGAGATCCCTCTTAGCACGTGCTGTGGCATGTGTTGGGGGAGCACGAAGGTGCTGGGAGGCAGGAGAACAACCCAGCCTGCCAGTCACCTTGGCAAGCGTTGGGGACACTGCTGGGAAAGGGGCCTTGTAGATCAACATGGCACAGGCCAAGCCCAAGGGAGCAGGGCTGACGGCCCCTGCCTTGAGCGCACCAGGGCCAGGCACCAGCGCCAAGCTTAAGAAAGCTAAACGAACAGAGTCAAGAGAGGAAAGCAAGCCCTACAGCACAGGACTGTGCCGCCCCACAGACTCCACCATTGGCGGTAGCTTATGTTAAAGAGGTAATAAAGATGGCAGCCATGGGCCAGCGCCACAACACCCACAGCTCTGCAGGTCCTGCTGTGAATCCAGCCAGGTCACTCCTCCACTAGCACACCACACACAACACAAACGCTACGAGCCGGGGCAGGAGCTGAAGGAAGGAGACTCGCGGCAGCAGCTGCTGCTGGGGTCTCCCCCTTCCCAACGGGGTGTGCAGGCACACGCACACTCCTGGCTGCTTGGGCTCGGGGCCAGAGTGGAGAGTCCCAGCCAAGGCGGCTCTGGCTACTGTGGGTGGCCGAACTTGCCGCTCTCTCCAGATCTGAGTTTGGAGGCTGCCTGGGCCTCTCCTGATTCTCCTGCTTTCCGGGAGCTCTTTGGGCTCACAGCAGCCTTGCGGGTGCCCTGGGGACTTGCCAGGCCCTTCTTTGGAAGCTGGGGGCTGGACTGGGCAGACTTCCTGCCCGTGGAGGGGCTCTTGGGGCCCTTGGGCTTGGCTGGCTCCAGAGTCTTCAGGCCCAGGATGTTGCAGTAAAGGTTACACTGGTGAGTAGCTGCGAATTGCTCCAGCAGGGATGGGAAGCAGCTTTCCTTCAGCCCCTGGTACCTGTCAATACAGCCACACTCAGCCCCGGCTCATGCAAGGAGACCTCCCGCTCGCCTTGTTCCCCAGTGCCAGTAGCTCTTCCTCCCAGCCCACTGGCTAGGAGAGAGTCGAGGCACTGGGCCTGGCCTTGAAGAGCTCCTGCCCACTGGCTGGTGAAGATGGAGACAGGCTGTGCTCACCACTGCACTGTTTCTTTGGTCACACAAGCAGCGGAACTGGAGACAGCCTGAGCTGCCCTGAGCTAGCAGCTGGAGGGTCACTCACCCTTTCAGGCTGGTAGCTATCCTCACGTTGGTCATCTTCCATCCCACCCCTGCAATGAAGGAGAGAACAACCAGTGCCAAAGGCAGGCTCATTGCCCCTGGAGCAGGGATGCCCTGCTCAATGTACAGAGACCTAAGCTGGGGCTTTTCTTCCTCCTTTCATAGGTCAGGATGCGGGGAGGAGCCACAGGAATCAGGCAGGAGGTCCCATTACCTTCCATGTCGGTCACAAGGATGTTTCCATTCGTCCACTGGTAGACCCAGTGCTGGAAGGTGCAGCACTTCAGCACAATCTCCGAGGTGCCCCTTGCCACCAGGCTGCCATCTCTCTCAGTGACACAGTACTGCTCACAGGGGCCCCCAAGGTCTTCCTCCACCGTGGCATAAGGGATGTTGTTAGCCGGTCGGTAAATCAGGTACAGAGGAATTATCCTGCACAGCACCACACAGTTGGGGTCGGCACCAGCTGACAAGCTCTCCCGCCTCAGCAAATGGAAACTCACACCCTCCATCTGCAAACACAGCCTTCTCCTCCACCTCTGCCCCTCTGCTCCCAAAGCCAAATTCCAGAACATCTGCCAGAGTTAGAAATCAGCTTGCCAGTCCCTGGCACAGTTCCCCCCCCTTCACCCCCCCACGCCCAAAATCTCCCTAGGTTCAACTTCTTTAACATGCTTGGGCATTGGGTTCTTCCCTTGGGCTTGATGCCCTGAAGGTGGGAGAACAGCACATGGGGAACCCTCCCCACCGTCCAGCTGCTTTGCCCCTCTGTTAAGCCAACAGAGAGTCACAGTATGCTACTTACTCAGGCACTGCTCCAAAATCGGGGACGGCTCGTGCCTCAGCAGCAAAGATCTTGCAGTACTCTCGGCTGGAATTCTGGATTTTACATTCCTGGAGATTCAAGCAGAAGAGTCAGGGACTTTTCCTGCTTCACGCCAACCAGGCAGCCAGTGCTCAGGCCTCCCCAGGACTCCCCACCTCACAAAGCATCCCTTGCTACCACTGTCAGTCTGTTCCCTGTCCTGGCAGTCAAAGAGAGTGACAGGAATCCTACAAGCAGCTGTGTGGTGCTCAGAGAGAAGGGCTGAAGCCAGGAACAACAAGCACAATGCCAGCCCCGCTGGGACACGGCTCAGCCCCTCCAGAGAATTTGAAAAGTTGAAGGAAATAAAGAAAATGGGAACAGAATTGAGGACTGTGGCTCATTCAGACAGGGAAGCAGTGCAGAAGGCAACTAGAGGGCACCCAGAGCCCCAGGCTGCCCCACAAGGGTGCCAGCCTGCAGTGCCCACCTGGATGGTGATATCGTAGTTCTTCTCGACGAGGCTGTTCTCGTTCTTGGTCCCAAAGACAATGAAATTGTGCACTTTGATGACGCAGGTCCGGCCGGACTCAAAGACAGGCTCTAGGCCGTAGATGGCCCTAGCACGGCAGGCTTTGCGCAGGAAGCCGGCACCCGCTTCCATGTCCTCGCTCACAACACGCCCGAAGAACTTGTCCCCCCAGTAGCCTGAGTCAGCCAAGCCTTTCGCAAACACCATGGGCGTCATCTCGATCTCCTCACCAACTGGTGGAGGGAAGAACTGGTGAGCAGGGACACAGCGGGCATGTCCTACCCCTGCTGCTGAGCTATCTGCATCCACGCAGCAAGAGGCGGTGGCTGGGGCAGCGCTCGCAGCTTGTCAGTGGATCGCCCTTACCTTCAATCTCTTCCCTCAAGATAAATCCTGACAGCACTGGAGGAGATACAAGCAGGAGACCAGTTAGGGCCCTGTCAGAATCCCACCCTGCCCCAAGGCCAATGTACTTTCATTTGAAGGGATCACAAGGAAAACATCCTGAATCACTCATACATTAGTATGGACAAGCCTGTCTCAGCAAGCATCTTCTGCTCTACTAGAGGTCTGGGCTTGCTGCCTCAATGGGACCCCGAAAAGCGAGCACTTCTGAGTCAGAATTAACTGATGGGCAGTTTGCAGAGAACAGCACTGTGGCCCAACTGGACGTCACTCCCTCCTCTGCAGAGCCCAGGCCCTGCACACCCTTGCAGTGCTCTTGCCCAGGCTCAGAGCGTACCCCACAGTCGTTTGGATTGCTCTCTCCCTGATGGCCAGGCTCCCCCAGTCCAAATCTGTGCCCTCTCCCACCTCGCTTGCCCCCACACTGTCCCAAAGACATGTGATCTCAGGGTGGGATTCGCTACTAGGAGGTGGAGGTAGACATGCACCTTGGAGAGGCGGTGTTACGGGGTTCACAGAGCTTCCTCTCCACAACCCAGGACCAAGCCCTTTCCTTGGCTCTCTATGCCACCCCGCTGCACGCCCA